CGGCGGGCCGGGGGGGGGCGGAAGGGAAAGTGCCTCCGCGCCGGTGTCCCTGGCGCTCTGCGGGGACGGGCATCCCGGCTGGGCTCGGTCTGTCGTTACCCGGGATGTGGCTCGCCCTCAGAGCTCCGCTTCGGTGCGTTCTGGGAAGCAGAGCTTGCACCGTTTTCTGAAAGAAAAACCCAAATCTTTCGGCCGTGTCTCTCTCTCTCAGACTGTATAGTTGCAATGCTTAACTGGTATTTTACTAAGAAAGCTCCAAAACTTAACCAATAAAACTCGGAAGTAAACTTAAACCAAATGCTCAAATGTAGCATAGAGAAATTTTCAACACATCCTAAATGGTCGTTATCTTTCCAGAGAATCCCAGGGTAGGTATGGGGAAAGACTACTCAAAGCCTTGCTTTTTTTTTTTTTTTTTGTGAGTGTTAAACAAAGACTCAAAAGTCACAGTTTGAACCTTGCTATTAAAAAATAGCTCAGCTTCTTTTCAAAATGTCTTTTTACTGAACACAGTTTTGTTTCAGATTGTTGCGTTTTCTTACAGGTAATGTTTTATTTCCTGGTTTCCAGTGTTGGTATTTTGTACTTGCTGTTACATTAATCGCTTTGACTCTTTCATGAGGATTAATGGAAATGTTGGATATACTTTATAGTTAGCCTGGGTGAAGCATGTTAGTAGGAATTACTCTCTAGTGACTCAAAGCTCAAATGGATGGCATATGATGGTGGTTACTTATCTTCACAGTGCAGGCTTTGATACTGAAGTTTCTATACTTAGATTTGAATTTAGTACGTTCACTGTTTCCCAGTCTTGGAAATCACAAAGAAATCTTTCCAAAGTGGAAAATCCGTTATAGGAGCACAGGGAAAGCCACCCTAGACCAGGCCAAAGGTCTGATGAACGCAGTATCCTGATGGCAGCACAGGCCACTAGTGAACAGCTAGGGAAGAGCGTGGGGAGATTTCTTTTACTTTTCTGACTCTCCTACGAAATCATTAGAAATCTGTGGCTCTTCCAGCTGCCGTGAATGTGTGGTTGTCAAATATTCCTTTACTGTTAATTTTTGAGAAGCATTTTCTTGGCCATTTCCTTAGGAGTCTCTCGTATTTAAGTATCTGCCTTTGGCATGAGTAATATTTTTCTGTTGTTCACAAAGGTGTTGAAGCTGTCACATTTCCCTAATTTGCTTCGTCAAAGTATGGTTTAACTTCCTGATAGGCAGGCCATCAGCAGGGCAGCAGGAAAGGGGACGTCTGACATTTCTTCTGTCTTTCTTTCGTGCCATTTTTGTTCCTTTTCCTAGGATGGAGACCATATGGTTCTCTTGCTTCTCTTGCCGGCTCCTTCCTTAGAGGCACAGAGTTGTGAGCATTACTTTAATTGTTACGCAGCTAGGTCTGTAATTTTGTATACTGGTGGCAGAGCATAGGAGACAAAAATATAGTTAGTTGTGGGCACTAATTATAGTGGATGGTCTACAGCAAAAAGTATGGTTTGGAATAAGAACTCCTTAAACCTGTACACAGGGAGTGGTGGGGACACACCGAAGGTAGGGTGGTGTTTGGAAATATCCAGAATTCCCTAGCAGGAAGCCCTGTGAACAGTTCCATGGTCTCAGCTTCTGGAGCACTGCTGTCTTTCCATCTTGGATGTTTTTGAAGTGCCTCTTGGGGGAAAATCTGCACATCTCCCCTGCCTGCAGAATAGCACCTGAAGAGCTGAGTGGTGACTAGTGTGCTGAAGATCAGGCTGGCTCCTTGGTGTTTGGGAGGACAGTAGGTCCCTGCCATTCCCTCTGCAGGATTTGCAGCCATCTGCAGCATGTCTGCTGTCAGCTCTGCTTCCTGTTTACACTGCAGTTCATTTTGGAGCGGACTCTGAAACAGCCATGCTGTCTGAGGACACAGCTGGCAGCTGGGTGGCTCAGCTCTCCGACATCATTATGGGGAGGAAAGGCAGGAGTCTCTTTCTTGGCCCGTGTCATTGTGGTTGCCCTGATGACATATGCTTTTTTTTTTTCCTGTAGAGTGCCAGCCTTGTGTGGCTATAGGTAGTGTTCACTGGTCAATACATTTGAGAGGTATCAGCTCAGTGATGTTCTTCTGGGTTTTGGACCTACCAGCTTTAAGACAGAGGTGAACCCTTAACTGATGGAGCCAGGAAAAACTTCTCTGCGGGCAGGTTACTGAAATTCCCAGTGCACCAACTTTGGAAGCACTTGGTTCTGTTCACAGCCAGGACCCACTTGCTCTATTGCTTGCTCTATGAGGTAAGATGCTTTCTACTGTGTTCCTAAGTGTGGCTGAGCTGATGCTGTTACATGGCCTGCTGTTTTTTGAAATGCCAGCAGAAAATGGAATAAACTGATCACTTTTAGTGCTCAAGTGATTCCCACCCTCTCTCCCTGGAAAAGGACTTCTATGGTAGTCACAGCACTGATACACAAGATTTTCATGGTGGCCCTCTGGGGTCCTCGTTCATGTCTGTAGGATTTTCACTGTCCGTAGCTTGCATGAGGTCATGCTTCAAGAGCCCTAATTGCAGCTGTAGCCTTGGGAGAGAGACATGAGTGTAAACCTTTCTGTTTCTCCTTCACCTTTCATGTGAGAAAGTTTCCATAGACAATGAAGGTGCTTACAGAAAAGTGGGGGCTGACTGGCTGGCTCGTCTGAATAAAAGCCAAACTTCTTAACTGGGCAAACAGCTTCATAATTTCTTCTAATTGCTCAAGTAAGGGAAGCATTTCTCCTCTGGTGTTCAGTATCCCTGGTTGACATCTGCTGTTCTTGGATTGCCTGTGCCCACTGTGGAGCACCCAGCTTGGTCTGGCAAGAAGGTGGTGCAAATGACATTTGCAGTTTTGCTCAGCATTTGACACCAGAGCGCAAGCTGCTACACCTCATTCCTCAGAGGACTTTGACTATTTCTGCTGAAATAGGTGCAGATGGCCAAACTGGAAAAATTCAGAAAGAACTTGACAGTGTTTTGCCTGGTGATGTCATGAAAACAAATGTAAATGGTTTACTCTGTTTAAATTAAAAAAAAAAAAAAAATAAGGACAGCTGTAACAGTAGAAACCAGCTGCATCTAGGAAAGGGAAAAGACCAGTTGTTAGGGGGCAGAGAAACTTCACCAGTATTATTTAATCTTCAGATTGCTACCAAGAGTTTAAGATCACTTTTAAAGGATAGGTCATTCAAGTACAAGGGCTGAGAGTTTGCAAGCAGAGGGGTTCAGCTGCACGTGCTTTGTTGGTTTCAGTGGGACTTGGGTCCCACAGCCAGTCTTGACAGCTCTGACTGCTCTCTGTGAAGCAGCTGCCATGAAGCTGCTGCAGCGCGCTCTGTTCTGCAGCCATTCCACAGAGGAGGTGGCATTTCTCATGACGGCTGATACGTAGTTACTAGACTTTGTGCATTAAGAAGTGGTGGGCCTTTAGCTACAGTTGGAAAGAAAAATGCTGCATTCTGAGGAGATGTAGTTGCTGAGAAAAATCCTTGGTCTTTGTTTCTTCTCTTCCTTCCGTTTTGCGCTGGTTTTGCCAGGTGTAAAACACAATTGTCAGCAGTTTACAGGGAGGAGGAGTGTCAGTTTTCCTGTGGAAGAAAATATCAAGGGTCTGATTGTGAAGGGAAAGGGGAAATTGAAGAATGCCACATGGCTTCCACCTTCCTGTATTTCATCCTAGCAGAATTGCCTCTGCTGAGTGACTCATTTTGTGTCTGTTGATATTTGCTAAATGGAGAACAGTTTTAAGAAATGATTCTGCCCTTACTCAACAGGAGTCCACCAAAAGGATAATATTACTGTGGAAGGAATCAGAAAGACATGTCCATTAGGGCTAAGTTAATCAAGAGT